TTTTTGGAAAAAGTTTACGGTTGTTGACTTTTCTCGCTTTTTTCTGTTTCGAGTGCGCTCTGCCCCCCCCCCCTCCCGCTTCCTCCATACTACGTTCTTCGGTAGTGTCTAAGGAAAAATCGACGGACTCAAGTGAAAACTCAAGAAAATTTGAACAGTTGGTTGCAACCTGGGAAAGTTCAGCCCGCTATTAGTACATACAACACACTATGATGCTCCACTAATACTAGTTACCATTTTGACCCCATACCAAGAAGTTTTCCATTGGCTGATCAGGTGAGTAGGTAGTAGGTAATGGAGCGCCCTGTCAGTTGCCTCTGCTCAGATGGAGTGGGGCTCACAGTTCGTTCATACTTCGCGATTTACTCGCTGTGATCGCGCGACCTTGACCGGACCGATTTACTACACAATCAGTGGACCACTGCAACGACATCTGGGATGAAGATTATTTGACCTTTTCATTTTTTTTGTTTTCATTCATTTCCTTCCTCTGGACTTCATTTAGGGGCAATTTTTACTCACTCAGACTTCGAAGGACGTACATGTGTCGCTAATGGGTTCCTGTGCTATTGACGTGAAATCTTATCTGACAGACATCTTCTCGCGCTGATTTCTATTCATCATCTTATTCGCGCCTTCTATCGAGGTCGCTCAGAGCACAGTGTTCTTGGAAGAATCTCATGAAGGGATCGTACTCGGACACTGGGTAGAGGGGTCGTTTTCGCTTTTCCGGAAAATTTTTTTCAAGCCGCAAAAGAACTTTCCCATCGTTGACTTTTCCCCAGTTTTTCCTGTTCTTAGTTGGCTTTACATTCTCAACGTGCTGACGACCTCTACTCACCCATCCCCCCCCCCACTTCGATGGCAGTTTTTCCGGGGAGGGGAGGGGGAGAAGGAGGAGAGAAACTACAAAAATTCCTCGTAAAATGGGAAAAATGGTAGAAGGTTGGGGAAAACCTAGAATATGGATAGGGAAGGAGGGTCGATGAGGCTAGATGAGGAAAATTTCAGGGAGGTTGTATGAAATCATTCAACACACCACGACGCTATACTCAGGCGCGATCGAGGTCATCGATCGCGCGATCGCATCGAAACTCACTTGAAAATTTAAGCTCACTTCCAAGTTCCGATTGAATGTAGAACTTATAGATTTCGATTCAGTCCGAGGGTTGTACTCGTATTACTCAGTACTGGACCATCTCCCACGCAGTATGAGCTCCCCACTCTTGCGCCCATGTCACGGCAGGCCTATCGAACTTGGAATTCTACTAGCAACCTATTTTCATTCCTTTGCCGGAAAAATCGGTCTGACGCTCCTTTTAAAGACCGCTCCACCATCCAGACATTTTCCTTGTAACTCCCAGACATGCGTGAAAAAACAACAGGAGAAGCTCGCATTAGTAAGCACTCTTATCACCGTCACCATGTGATTGAAATTGAAGCGATCAGCATACCACGGTCACATGTACAAGAATCAGCAAGGTTGATTTGTCCAACCCCCCCCCCACCCCTCGAACCTATATCTACCTGTTATTCATAGCTTACTAACCATTTATTTGAAATTAACCGGAAGTAAGTACAAGATATCACTAAAGATGCCTGCAAACCTGAATTGGGTATGCCCTTCTATTACTTGGCTGAATGAGAACATTGACACCGGCTCTGGTTAGCTTCTTCACATGTGTCGGTGCGAGAGGAGCTCTTCGTTCCCAAGCATTGATAGTCTCTCTTCGAATTCCCAGCGTCGGCTTCCCTCTGCCGACATATGTCTGACAGAAGCGTAGCGATATCCGGCTACATGATGCTATGTTGTGCAGGAGCATCTGAAGCATGCATCGCATTCCTTGGGCATACTGTTACTTTCTAATTAAGCACACGAACAAAAAAAACAACGAACCAACAACGATTCCATAGTAACTAGGAGGATCACTGAGTAAGAGCACTACTTAACGGTATAATTGAAAGAGTCCAGCCACGACTCAAGCTTCAAAGACAAACTGTACCCGCAGATCCGAGCACGGTCTTTTTCGATGTAGGAGAAGAATGGGTCCACAGCTGGAGTAGCCGGCCACTTTCTCCTTCAGAAGTACACAGGAGCGGGATTACAGTAGTGATACCCGAGTATAGCCTTCATACTCCGCCTGCGCTCCATGTGCAGCACTTGCATTTAAGCCAAGATCCCGCAGCGAAACACGCACTCAGCGGCAGAGAACAACCATTGGTGAAAGTTAGCAGGCAGGTAGCGCATTTGGCTATGAGTGGGTCAGGGGCTTTCCTTGCGGCAGCGCGGGTGGACTACTGAAAGCGCTAATCGAGTATCACTTCCCTCCATTCCCCTTCACGTGACCGGAGAAAGTGGTACTCCACTGCAGTTACGGCTCCATGCGGACCCATTCACCTCACACATTATATGGACCGGGATCCAGAGGTGAGTGTAAAAATTGTTCTCCAACCGGCAGAGTCATTTTATGTCCGTGATTTTCTGGAGCATTTCAGATTATGCGACCGCTGCAGACTGACTTTTTTATCCTCATTAATAGAAGTTGTGCTAGCCAGCTTCTGTGCCCACTTGACAGATGGAACAACTTAAGATTGTGCTGTTCTTTGCTTTTATGTGTTTAACATTCAGATGGAACAACTGTTGAAATGGCTCGACGTTTCTTGTTTTCAGAGTGCTTGGGTCTCTTTGGAGTCCCTAGAAAGTCCCCGAAAAAAGGAGTGTAAGAAGTGAGATTGCCGTAGTTTTCTCGCAGCAAATTTTGATATGGAAAATGACAATTGTTCCCAATGTGTTCTATACTATTTGATAGATAATTTTTTGCTCTATAGAATATTACGATTGCCTTTCCCAGGTTCTGTCGATTTTTCTTTCACATGCAAATAGGAATGTTCAGATCGACATGGAAGAATGGTTTTCGACAACAGCTTTTTACTTTATCTCGGCTCACAAATTACAGAAGAAACTTGGAACTTGTGGTATGTATATATGATGAAGGCAAGCTGGTTCTCGATTGACAGCTTGAAGTTGGTCAAAGCGATTTCACAGGGCGTGGACAAATAGGCCCCATGATAAAAGACATCGCGTGGATGAGCCTGCTTAGGGGAGACTCCTGTCTGGCAGAACCTAGCTTACTCTATTTCGAAAGTCTGACGATCAGCTGCGTGGGTAATGCTTGATAATGATGGGGAAACATTCCATGACCTCTAAAGATTCCCCAATTTTGGAATTAATCTCCGTGAATAAAGTGATTCAGTGAGCTTTCAGTTGGATTCCCTAGGGCAATAGGTCGATGCTCGCCTGCGAGGTCGACAACCCTGAACATTGAATAATGCTGGCACCGTTGCAAGCCGCATTCCTAAGGGACATAGCCTCTTGGCCATATACTTAGCAACTGGGCCTGTGCGGTTTTAGCTTTCTAATTAGAGGTAAAAAAAAGGCTATCGAAAATGCTCAATTTCGTCGACCTGACACTTCACTTGAGCCACTTAAAATATCGCGCTGGAAAGAGAATTTCTGAGAAAACTAGGGACGGGCTGACCGTGTACGTGACAGGAATCCTCTGTGTACCTGTAAAACTCCAAAGCAAACTTCTTCATCTTTAGCAGCGAAATATACTTCGAACCGTCGGATCGGCCGGCGAAGCCGGCCGATCCTCCTTCCGGGTGTGAAGTGGGTCCCGGTGAGAAGTTTTCCATGAGAGGGAGGGCCAGTCGGATCGGCCGGCGAACGCCGCGCCGATCCTTAACTTCCGGGTGTGAAGGCGTCCACCGGTGAGACGTTTCTCAGTGAAGAGGGCAAGGGCCAGTCGGATGGCGGCTTCGCCGGCGCATCCTAGCCCCTTCGGGTGTTGAAGTGGGGTCCCACCTGAAGAGTTTTTCATGAGAGGAGGGCCTAGTGGATCGGCCGGACGACAGCCGGCCGATCCCTCCGTGCCGGGTTCCCCCCCCTACGAAAACAGTCATCAAATTGTATTAACTGCCAACCCCGTCACGGATAAGGAAGTGCAGAATAACACGCGGCCACCAATCATTTTGATATTCCCTACGCCGTTATCCCTGTACTAAATCATCTGCCCAACCCTGTCCTCGAGTTTTCCTTAATCCCATTCCTGGGAGTGTTTTCGGATGTAGTTGAGTGGTTTTTGTCCCCACGCGCACCGATTCACTCTTGGGCGAACGACGCTACCCACTCGCGGCGTGCGCTCAGTTTTCATTGCGTCCGCCAACTGTTTGCCTATCGTTTCCCCAATTTCCGCTCTTCGGGATCTTCTAGAACCGAACTACGAATTTTTGAAAGTTTTGTAGCGAGCACCGCCCACCTATAGCACGCCCGCCCATCACGGGTGTGACTCCCTCATTTCATCCGCCAGCTGACTGCTTATCGTCTCCCACAATTTCCGCTCTCCGGGATCTTCTAGAAACCGAACTACGAATTTTTGAAACTATGTAAGCTCACAACTGTTGCGCAGTGCCCGCCACACGTGGGCGGGCTTAGCCTCAGCTTCTATGTGTGTTCCGTACAATCTTGATGACCCATGCCCGAACCAAACCCAGCCCTTGACCGCCCCCCTCCAACTGGTTGTTTCAGGTGGATTCCGAAATATCTCCGCGACAGGACAGACAAACAGACAAACAGTACAGACAAAGCGTTACAGATTGTTGCCGTTTTATATATAGTAAGAATAGAAAAAAATGCTATTACTTATGGGCCGACCCAATAGAATACGAATTCTATCAAGAAGTTAAAACCTTAACTGACGTGTAAAGCTCTGAAAATTCAATCTTAGCATTAGGTCATGTTTAGTGAATCATGAACCACATCTCGCAAGAAAAAAATACACAGATCACATAAAATTAATTTAAAGCGGCAGAGCACAGAGGAGCTGGAGAATATTGACCAAGGGAGCTGGAGAATATTGACCAAGGTAATTTCTGAGCGCAATCACCACAAAGGACAAGTGCAGACTGCAAGACGCTTGATCAGTCACCTCGGAGACTAAAAAAATAGAACGAAACAGATAAGAAACCGGAACTCGTGAAGAAATGACACTGACCATGTCTGAAGCCGTAATGCCGTAAATTACAGATTTTTTCGCCATGTGGAAGGCTAAGAAGATCTACAGCAGCAAAGGGAGCCCCAAAGAGATCAATGTCAGCAGTGACTAGGGCGACCCTACAGGCTGTAAGCAACATAAAGGCCGTACTGGATTGAAAAGCTCACGAATAAGCCATAAGCATAAATCTGCGCTGGCCGATCTTGCCGAACACCCAAAAGGGCACCAGCACCTGTCGTGTGGGAAAACCAGTGCAGGAAAGTGAAGGCAACAGAGAAAGACCACATAAAGACAGATCTAGCTGAATTGCTATAATCTCGGAGTTTGGCCAATCGACCTAAGTAAAAGCTTATAAGCTCGTGGAGTACGAAGCTCTCATGTGGATGAACTCAAGAACAAAGAAGTAAACAATAAGTGAAGCGGTCAGGAGCTGAAGTGAACCAATTCGCGTGGTTGTACAATGATTTAGAGCAACGACATGGAGGAAAGG